TTTGGAACGCAGTGACAGTTTATTGATACCCTTCTTGAATAAATCAGCTGGACGGGAGGCAAGAAATTATTCAAAGACATATTTACAGCCCGTTGGGTAGGCTTAGGTGTTGAACCAGGATCCAATCAATTTGCTGAGCGTTTGAGATTGTCACACACAATACATATTTCGTCACAGGTAACAAACAACGCGGTTTAAAATTCCTTCATTTTTGTGACCTGTTAACTTTAGTTTTTTAATTTAAATGGTATAATATATATTCAAAAGTAGTAGATTAAAAAGCATCTTGATGTTTCACGAAAATAAGTTGTATATTTTCTTATGTTGAAATATAAAAAATATTTTATTTAACATGGACTAACTCGTAAACCCATTTTAGACCATACTCGATTCGTTCGAGAAATGAACCCGCAGCTCGCAGTGTTGTAGCTAAACGCATAATTAGCTTTGTGTAAATTGCCGTGTAGTGGTAACGTAAAAGAATCCTCGGGTTGGATTTGGAATCGTTTGGTAGGAATTTGGGGAAGTAAGGTGTTTTATTTGGTAGAGGTTTGGTTATCGATTATAACACAACTCGCATTAAAAGATAATATACCGTTTTTGAGAAAATAAGAAAAAACTATTATAACCTAAAATGTGTAAAACATGGAAAAACGTATGCGATATTACTGGGAAAGTCGAATAGCATACATAATTTTGAGTAAGTAATAGTATTTTTACCTTTTTCTCGAAAACGATGCAATGCCTTTTAATGCGCGTGGTATTGTTATAATCGGGGACCAAACCTCTACCAAATAAAACACCTTACTCGCCCAAATTCCTATCAAACAATTCTAAATTTTAACCGAATCCTCTACCTTATTCTACTGCGTGATATCATCCCATGGGTATAGGTAATAGGCGACAGAGGGAAATGAAATAAGGAAAGGACAATATAATTTTCTTGTCAACAACTTTTAAAAAACTGTAATTAACAACCCGCAGGCAAGCTTGACCACTATGGCAGATACCATTTCCTGTGAGCCTACCTCTAAGAAAGCCCTATGTTCAACAGTAGACTTTTGATAGGTTGCAATGATGAAGAAGATGAAATTGGGAAGATGACTTTGTGTGTCTTATTTTTAAGGCTATTTTCCATCTTTTTTTACAGTTAACGGCTGAGAGATACTCAGTTGTGAACTCAAGCGACTCTGTAGAGAGCCTCTTATGAGTTGTTGGTAAGTTTTCGAGAAGGCTCGTTCTACTTGATGAATCAAGTGACGTACAACTGAAGTGCTGTACATCGACGGATTTATAAACTATAAGACTGAAAGTAAGAAATGTCTAAGTTTTTTCTGAAGGTCAAAATTGTCAGTTTTTGAGACTATTTTAGGTTAACGTTTAACGTATTTTAGTTAGATAGTTTTTTTTCATAGATTTCTCGGAAACATTAAAATGGTTCATATATGTTTATAATTAAAAATATGTAACATGACTTCGACTGTGCAGTGGCAGTGCAAAAATAACCACTAGCTCATATCGTCAAGTGGGTGATGTAAGAGGCGAATGCAGGAAACATAACAAGAAACGGGATTCCTAATAACAACTAAAAATAAAAATATTAAACTTGTGGCTGTCAACTCGCCGGCCATGCGGGAGGCCTACATTCAGCAGTGTACTTTTAAAAGGCATAACGGTAACGTGACTTTGGACGAGTAACATTATTAACTTTTGGATTTTGAAACTTTTATAAAACTTTTAAATTCATTGTAAATATATAACTTAAAATTTTTTGTCAATTAAGGGTCACCTATTTCTTCTATTCTTCTACTGCTCATCGTGAAATTTAAGTTAAGACAAAAATCTGAGCGGACAAATTACAGAATAATAATTTTAAAAATTAACCTTGCAGAACGTAAAGTTGTTTTAAAAAATGTATCTATAGTGGTCCTAGCGCGTAGTTCTGTTATTATTGTGTCATCGTTATCTTAATTCTAGTATTCGGTGTAAGAATATCCTCTAATACCATAATAAATCCGGCACACCACCTGCAACTTTACAAGGTGCGGGTTCGGCCGCATGTGGAATACTGTTCCCATTTCTGGGCTGGGGCTTCCCAGTGCCAGCTCCTTTCACTTGACCACATCCAGCGCAGAGCGGCTCGAATTGTCAACGGCCAAATGCTTTCCGATCGGCTCAATTCACCGGCGCTGCGAAGAGATGTTGCATCTCTTTGCGTATTTTATCGCATCTATCACGGGGAGTGCTCTGAGGAATTCTTCGGATTAATCTCAGCCGCCAAATTTCGTAAACGCACTAAACGGCAAACCTCCCGTACAATATCATCTACACCATCTGGATGCTTGGCGTTCCACCACTGTACGTTTCACTAGGAGTTTTTTTCCGAATACGACCTATCTGTGGAATAGTTTACCACCGGCGATTTTTCCGGAATGATACGCCCTGGGGACCTTCACGAAAAGAGTTTGCTCGGTTGCGGATGTTCCTGGGCGGCGCTAGTCACTTAATATCAGGTGAACCGTATGCTCGTTTGCCCCCACTTCTATAGAAAAAAAAACCACATTGTCCCGTGCGTGTCGCAACAGGCTGCAGAGGGAAACAAACCACATGTCGGGCAACAGCGTCTTTCTAATAACAACTGAAAATAAAAACGCCAACCCTTTAGTATATTTCCCGCCGCAAAATATTCCTTTAGTACCTCCTTCTGCTTAAATAGTATTAACCTATAAATGGGAGCTGTAGGACGTATATAGTTTTTATTTGTTATTTTATTACAGGTATGATATCATAATTATTTCTTATATTTAAACGAATGCTAAACATTGATACAAATAAATTTTATGAATTTATTGCGTTGAGTTTATTATAGTTTAAAGTTACTAAGTTGTAGTTGCTTTATAGCACCCACAGTCATAGTAGACTACCCGTGACACTACAAGCACCCAAAACGGTGGGAATTAAAAAAAATCAAATTAAAGGCTCTAATTATCTCGCTTTAATTGTAAAACAAGTATCCGTAAAATTAGTTTTGTATATTCTCTTTACTTTTCATAAACTTGTGCCTTAGTGTGTCTTAACTTTAGTTATAATGTAGGTAATATGCGTAGGATATAGTGGTCAACTACGGAGTGTAACATGTATAGCTTTTATTCCGAATTCCCTGTACCTAAATGTAAAAATAGTTGCCCTACTCAACTACGTTATAGACACTGCTCCCTCGTAAGTGACCGCCGATGTAATAAATATATTATTTAAATAAAAATGTTTTTTTATTTAAATTGAAACAGGAATATCTTTTCAGTATCGATTCCTGTTGTAACAAGTAAAGAACTATTTGTTGGAAATAATTATTTTTATTTTTACGCACTTAAATAAAAATGGCAATATTTTGCTAGAGATTGCCATTTGGCATTAAGTTTGTAACCTGTCGTTGGAGGTGTGTTGCAATAGGGGGTTAAATAAATAAATATTTATCATAGATGTACAACATTTTCAAAGCTCCCAACTTGATGACTTTCTCGTGACTTTCTGTTGTTTGTGGAATTCTTATGTAAAATTACTGACTCAATGGAGTAGCTTTGTATTTTAGTTTTACTAGGTATGTTGCGAAAAAAATTTAATTCATTCGGCCAGTGCTAGGCAGACATTTATGTTTTTTTTTATCATAAATAATATAATGACAAAACATTAATATATAAAAGTCTGCCTACTTTAATTAACTAAGTGATAAAATTTAAATCTGGGATATTTTACCAAAATGTTAACAAAATTATAATTTACATATAATTTGTCTATACAATTGTGTCTGTCGCTCTGTTTATTTTTGTCTCTCAAATACACAGAATAAAAAAGAGTATTGAATTTTGTGTATTGTATATATAAGTGAAATGTATGAAGATGGATATTCGTTTAAAATAAGCAAAGTTTGAGGTTTTAATGAGCAGATATATTTCTTATAATATTTATTTTAATAAATACTCTAATCATGCAAACACAAAAAAATTGTCCTAAATAATACGGGACTTGTAAATAATACATAGGTTAACCAGAAATTACAAATACAAAATTTCAATCAATACTTAAATATTTTAAATAATTAATAATACTTATTTTGTTTCTCAATAATATGAATATTATTAACATTAATTTATTATACTCTCGAACTACGCACTAGGACAAATATGGAATAAATTTTAAAACTAAATTTACGCAATTATATTAATATTTAAAATATTTATTCTCTTATTTATCGCGTCAAATGTTTCTCTTAACTTGGCTACGTTAGTGGATTTTTGACTTTTTACAGGATTTACGGAATGAATGATGAATGAAATAACAATTCTTTTATTTTACAATAATCAATTCCTGAAATTTTCAAAAAATTCAAAACTTCGCTTTATAATAAAAAGGAAAAGAATTCGCAAGCGTCACTTTTATGCATAAATTCCCTTGAGCTCGACCCATTTGATTTTAAAAACACTTTATAACATAATCTACTCTTTACTTTGAAAAGTATTTTAACACAATTACGTAATTTAATAGTAAGCGTTTAATAAATATGTTCCTTGTTTTTTCATTTCAGTTTAATTGCTACGTACATTATATATTTATGACATGATTATTATGAAAAAGCTGTAGTTTTGGTAACTAAACTATTAATACTTATGATATTTTAAGTACATACAATAAATGGGGGAACCTACGGTACAACGGTGAACTTTGATAGCATTTTATAATTATTTTATTCAACTTTAATACATTACTTGAAAAATATACTTACAAGACTTTATTAAAAGCTAGAAGTTAAAGTAATATGTTATCAAAATTTTAATTTCTAATTAAGAGAAAAGAATTCCAATAAAAGTCCTAAATAAAGTGTAAAATACCCAAAATCCCAATATTTACGGTAGTATCATTCGGTCGAAACCGCTGAATCGGCCACACATAACCGTGGCTCTTCCAACCCTTAATTTTACACTTATAAACACTATAAAACTTACCGTTGAAACATGTAAACAGCCACAATAAAGCTGTGCATAGATGCGTGATAGAAGCACGCCTGACTTCCCGCCGCCACACCATCTCACCAGAATCATCGAACTTCACTGAACCAACATATAACTCCCGAGAAGACACTCAATATTAACAAGCTACGGAACTCGACTCTCGGACAATTACGAATGACATAACAGAAAGTTCATGTGAACTGTGTGGAAGCATAACACGTCCATCCGCGACGCAGCGTCACGTAGAACTAAAGTCTAAAAGCTCGGGACAGGGTAAATTAAAAGCCTTCCAGCGCAGGGCGGGGGAGGTTTGAAATGTTTTGTTCTTCACAAAGCCTTTTCCCTCCAAGTGCGGAGACCAAGTGCCGTGTTAAGTCAATCTTGCGTCTCAATGATTGATGGAGCTGTTTGTATTTTTATTGTCGTTATATAATGGTACGTCATTAGTTGCCTTACTTTGATGTTAAAGAAGATAGCCGTTTTCATTTACAAGTGTCTAGTTTGTCAACATGAATTGATAATTTACTTTAGTCAGTTATCTTTTGTGCACTGTACGTTTCACATCATTTCCAAATACCATTACCAAATTGATTGTAAATTGTAGTTCGTCCTTTTCATAGTGTTTTTGTATATAAAATGTTCCGCTATATAAGCCAGTAAGTTGACCAATATGGTTCCGTGTTAGGTCAGATGGTTAGCGCTTGCTGTATTTTTTAAATAGAATAAGGGTGACAAACGAGCACATAGTCCAACTGATGGTAAGTGGATGCTGTGGCCCATAGGCATCTACATTTATCCTCGATCGAGATGCAGATACGTTGTCACCCCTGAGGTCTAGGATGGAATGCCTCGTTTTCAGTTAATGGAATATCCGGTTCTCTACACTCACCATACGAAATACAGCAGCATTATGCTGCTATTTTAGGCTAATATTCTGTGAGAGCGTGGTCCTACACCGGTCGAGCCGACCCATTCGTGCTACAACCATAGGTAATATAGCCACAGCGTGGCTCTACCACGTAACATTTCACAGTACGCGAGTAACCCGTAGTAGACCCTCCTGCACCAAAGAATTTTTTAATTGCAATTTTAAGTGCTAATTTACCACGTGCTTGGTGGTGAAGGAAAACATCATGAGTGATCCTGTACATCTGAGAAATATAAATGATTCGGAGTACAGGTACTCCGGGCATGGGTGTAGGTACTCAGGGTTAACACTGACATTTCCATTTCCTTGCCCTAAAATCCAAAATGAAAAAAAATCCATGTTTTTAAAATAAAATTTATTTGAAATTAGAATTCTTAGCGAAACAAAATTTATTTTGATATGAAATATCCGGTACAGCAGAACGGCAATTTCATAGTTAAAGACCTATTATTACCTAAAACAACTTAAAAAAGGCAAAGGTATTTTTACTTTTAATAAAATGTTTATGTCGTTTTGCTTGAGCTCGTTACGCATGTAAGAAAATACATAATATGATGTACAGTTAGGTACTACTACCGGTTTTTACTTTTAAAGCATTAAATTTACTATTTTCTAAGCAACATTTTCACTTATATTCTAGCTTATATTAGCGTCATATTTGGTCACAATATCAGTCATAGGAGGAAACACAAAATAATTTTTTAAGCAATTAAATTAATAATAAAATAGTTGCAACGCAAAACTTATGGAACTCAAACGATAGTATTTTTACCTGCGACACTACGGATATACCTTATGCGCGTTTAGGGGGAGAGGTTGTTTGTTTGTTTGTATGTGCAAACGTATGTTCCCATTAATCTCTAAAACCGGTAGACCGATTTAGATACAGCTGTCTGTAAAGGGTACGTGACTCACCGTCAATAGTTCATAATAGGTGTTACGATGTTAACTCGCCAGGGGAGGAAAAATTATTATTGCAGCCCCCCCTGCAATAATAATTTTTTCTGTAAACGAATGTTCCCATTTAACTCAAAAACGGGTGAACCCATTCAGATACGGTTTTTTGTTAGTGTAGTGCAAGTTTTGCAAGACACAAGCTTCGGGTACCGCGCCTACGTAACAGAGAGTGAAGCTGGCCACAGTCGAGAGTTTGCCTGCTATACTGCCATATGTAAAAGGTGTCACTGACAAGATTGGCTACATCTTGAAACGTGCTTCCATTAAAACATACTTAAAGCCGCCGAAGGAGGTTAATCAGTTAAGTGTAATGTCCCTTTGCAAGATGCAGGAATATGTAAGCTTGATTGTGAATGTGGTCTCTCTTACTTAGGACAAACTAAAAGATCAATAAAAACCGCCTTAAAGAACACTTAGCTGATGTGAAGAATTGACGCTCTGAGAAGTCTGCAGTCTGTGAACACGTACAAGATCGCTCCTGCCACTAGATCAGATTTCATAGACCACAAATTAATATTCGCTAAATAATACCGATTCCTTACAAGGATAATTCGTAAGGCTATGGAAATCAAAGATAAAGATACATCCTAATTTCAATAGAGAAGATGGTTGGGTGCTACCATCTGCTTGGGATCCTATAATTAATAACATTAAATCCCAAACTAAGCATACAACTGCCAGACTTCACGATACTATAAGTTCATACCGCGTAGATCTGAGCAAGAATTAAAATTTTTAATGTGAAGGTTGATTGTCGTCTACATGCACCTAGGTGCTATGCAGGTATCGGGCCTCGGGGTATACCCCATTGCCCGGACTTTCCTCATGGCCCACTACTATGGGCCAGTCCTGGGTGCCTATATTAGGCTAGTTGCACGCGGAGACTTTCCATAGTATGATTATTTAATTTTCCCGTAGTTAACCGACTACGGGAAAAAAGGAGGTTATCCGATAAAAAGTTGAAGTTGGCCTATCAGCGGCATTGAGGGTTGTTACTCGACTCTCTAATCGCTACAGAGAGGAGTTCTCTTGGAAAAGGTCGCCCGTCCGGCGGCCGGGTATGCAATGGTGCAAATCCGTTGAGGTGTTCATGTGGCCCGTTGTCGGTGCGGTCGAATATGCCGCGCGCCAGCCGGGCCACAAAGTCGGTGATGTTCTCGACCTTTAGATCGGCCGCTATAACGTTGTTCCGGACGTAGCGACCTGCTCCGACGTTCGTCCTTAAAGTCAGATTCTGCTGGGCCTGCAGTCGCCACCTCAGAGGGTCGCTCAGAAGCGCGTATAGCCCCCGGAACAGCGTAGGTGATGATGGTTTGGATATACATCTTGTATATCCGGAGCTTGGTCTTGATCGGCAGCTTGGATGCCAGGACCGGCAAGAGCGTCGCCCGCGCACATCGGGCTCTGCGGACGACGAAGTCGACGTGCGCGGTCATGCGCAGCGTCCTGTCGATCCTGCACCCAAGGTAGGTTACGGCCTTCTGGTACGCGATCTTCTGGCCGTTGAGGGTCAGCGGAGATGGAAATTTCCTGATACGGCGAGTGAGCAGAGCGGTCATCTTACCAACGTCAACCATCCTCCACTCATCCAGCCATGGTGGCAACAGGTCCAGCAGACGCTGCATCCTGGCAGTGGCTATGTGGGATCTTCTTGACGAGGTGAAATAGGCGCTATCGTCCGCGTATAGCGCCAGCTCAACGTCGTCCTCCCACTCCTGCAGCCTGCCTGCCAGTGTTGGGATATCGTTAGTATAAGCCGCGTACAGGACTGGAGACAAACAGCTGCCCTGTGGAACGCCTGTTCTGATGGTTCTGGTTGCGGACTCGGCGTCCTCTACGCAGACGTAGAATTACCTGTCTTCCAGGAAAGACGCCACTAGCCGCAACATAGCAAGAGGGACACTGGTCTGTTCGTACAGCTTGTAAAGCAGTCCCACACCCTGTCGAACGCCTTCTCGATATCAAGAAAGACGCCCAACGATATGCGGCCACGATTGTACTCTGCCGCAAATAGGTGCAGCACTCTAGTCAATTGTGTGACTGTAGAGTGACCCCTCCTGAATCCGTGTTGCTCCGCCCGAAGTTGGATGCACTGACGGAGACGTCTTAGCAGCAATCTTTCTAGCAGTTTAGCCATGTGCGGTAATAGCGTGATCGGCCTGTAGCTGGCAGCTCTACGCCTGTCCTTCCCGAGTTTCAGCAAGACGATGACTTTGCCTTTCTTCCAGTCCTCCGGGAAGTGGGATGTCCGCAATATCCCATTGTAAAGTCGACCAAGCTCTACTAGGACTCTATTGGGCAGCTGTCGGAGTGCAGCGTTGGTAATCCCATCGTGCCCCGGCGCCTTCCTCGGTTGCAGGCAGGTTACTGTCCTCCGCAGTTCTCTCGCGGGGGGAGATGAACCACTTTCCTTACGGGCATGAAGCTCCATGAACTCCGCACTTGCTGGGTTCGGCATAAATTGCTCCTCGAAGTGCTCGACTAGGATATCCCATCTGCCCTTGGCATCGTAGCAACGTTCACCTGCACTGTTAATAAGCGGTCTGGTGTTGGTCAACTGTCGGTTCAGTTTATAGAGCGACGCATCTTGCTCGTCCGCCTTCCAGATGCGCCGATCCCAGGCCTCTCCTCTGAAGGCCTGGACTGCAACCGACAGTTCCTCCGATACGGTGTTAAGTTGCTTCTTTATCTTGGGGCAGCAAGTAAGCGCCCAGAGCTTTCTCAACGCTCTCTTGCGCCTGATCTGCACACATATCTCTTGCGGCAGATCTTCTCGCCTTGTTGTGGTCGGGACGATCGTAGAGGTCACGTGGAGGGCCTCCTGGATGTTCCTGGTTATTCTAGTAGCAGCGGCCTCTACGTCGTCCGCTGTGCTTATAGGTTGGTGGACTGGAGGTCTCTCCTGCAGATGTTGGCAACAGAGCCTCCAGTTGACACGTATCTTGAATGCTCTGGGCGGTGTTGTCACCGCCTTTAGGCCAAGGGTTATCAGAATCGGGAGGTGCTGTGAGAAGAGGTCGTACAGCACTTCTACCATTATCGGGTAGTTGACGTTCCTAGTGAGCACGATGTCTAATACATCCGGATGTTTCCGTGAGTCAGATGAAATGTGAGTCGGTTCTTCGGAACCTAATACGTCATAGTTGTTGTTTTCTGCGTCTTCATAAAGTTCAAGACCCGGCGGAGTGATC